GAGAACTTTTGTTCCTTGCCAAATCCCTTTTTTGTTGTAGTGTGTATTTGACTACTATAGACATATTCTTAGAGTTTGTATTGAATTGAGAACCCATATTATCTTAACCTCTTAATTTACCTGAAGGTTCCTGGAGAACAATGAAAGATGTTTACGACATCTTTATGACCAAATATTATTCACCTCAAATGACCATTGACCTGAGGAACAAGAACTGTACTTTTTCTCAAATGGAAGAAAAGCAAATTCATGAAACCTGGGTACTTTTCAAGTTACTACTCTCTTAGTCGCCCCATCATCAATATTTTTGGCATTACAAGTGCAATTCTTCTACGATGGATCATTGACAACCTAGAATATGATGCATGTAGCAGTTGGAAGTTATATTGGGGACAAAATCCTAGAGAATTTGGTTGATCTCTATCAGTTGTTATCTAGCGACTTGCAGCTAAAAGCTATCCAGGGCAAGAAAGTAGAAGTCCATGAAATCAGCGTTACAAGAGATTTGGGTTCATAGATTGGTAAGTTGACTCGTCAAATGCAACTGCTCTTAAATCTGGAAGTTCAATCTCAGGAACTATGTGCATATTGTCACTTGTTTGGGACACAGCTACAACTGTTATAATAGAGAGCTCGCACCATGGTTGAAGACGTCAATTTTGTCGAAGCGTATGATAGGCAAAAGTTGCAGCTGAGAAACGACCCTTTCTATAATACGTACAATAAAGCATGGAGGAATCACCCTAATCTTTCTTGAAGAAATTGAGTTAGCCTTTCGGGACCACCTAGGTTTCAAAATTCGCAGCAGACCTCTCAATATCTTCTCCTGCTTGCACAAGAGAAAAGCCAAGTTTTAAAGAGATGATGTTGCAGAATATGCAGAAGATGGATCAAATGGCTCGATCTCAATAAACTTCCATCTAAAATCTTGAAAGGCAAGTAGTCCAATTAGCTAAGGCATTGATTGAAAAGGAGCAGGGAAGATTGCCTAGTAACATTGAGGTTAATCCAAAGGAGACTACTACGGTAGTGACCCTTCGATCAGGGGAAAGAGTTGGATGATTCTATTATTAAAGCAAAGGAGGTACCTAAGAAGAAAGATGGGATAACTGATGAAAGTGAAAGAATTAGAGATTTGGAGCATGGTTTGGGGCAATGGGGTTCAAAGTGAGGAGCAACGTATGAAAATGCCTAGGGTGAAAGCGTATGTGTCACTCATCCCCTTCCCTCAACGGGTCAACAAAAAGACGAATGACGGGCATTATCGAAAGTTTGTAAAGATGCTTCAGAAGCTCCAAGTGACTATGCGTTTTTTTTTTAAGTTCTTGCCAATACACTATCCTATACAACGTACTTGAAAGAAATAGTCTCTAACAAGAAGAAATTGGAGGACTTTGTGATAGTATCACTTATTGAGGCAAGTAGTGTGGAAGAGAATATTAGTATACCTATAATTTTAGGTAGGGGCTATATTTGGCTATTAGAAGGGCGGTAATTAATGTGCCAAAAGGAAAATTGACTTTGAATGTAGGCAATAAAAAAGAGGAATTCAATATTTTTTGTGCTTTGACAAGTCCATATTTTAATGAATCTTATGTTCAAATTGATGAAATTGATACCACTAGTGCTATAGTAGTTGAAAAAGGATGTTTTAAAGATCCAGTGGATCTTATGATTTGCTAGGTTCACGAGTAAAAGATTATGTCCCACATTGATCCGAAAGATGGAGAAAGAGCGGTTAATATGTAAATAAGGGCCAAGACCTAATAACTTAAGTTTTTGAGTCAAAGTTGGGTTCCTGAATCACATATTGGACTCTTTGGTGGGCTTTCTCGAGGTGTTTCCCCCTATCAAATTAGTATCAAAACTTCAGGTTGTGAGACTGGGCTACTCATGGGCAAGTGAATTCTTTTCGAAATGCTAAGGAGTTTGGCTAGTGTTGGACCAAGTGTGCCGAAGTGCTACTCATGGGTTACTCATGGACCGGTGAAAATTCTCTTCTTGATGGTGGACCGAAGTGCTAAGCTGTTTGGCTAGTGTTGGACCAAGTGTTCTGTGGGTTTGGCAGGGGGTTCGATTGGTGTGAGATGGAACCAAGGGTTCACAGAGGTCCAAAAATCCAGTTTAAATGTTAAAGAATAGTGGGCCCATATTTGGGAGAAGAGTTAACCTTAGATGACAAGATGAGCTTGTGTTGAGTATTAAAGTGAGTTCAAAAAAGGGTTTATAAATTTGAATTTAATGTGAGGGTTACTCATAAAGGGAGAGATTTGTTAGGTTCATGAATAAAGGATTATATCCCACATTGATCCGAGAGATGGAGAAAGAGCGGTTAATATATAAGTAAGGGTCCAAAACCTAATAGGTTAAACTTTTGGGTCAAAGTTGGGTTCCTAATTTATATAATGGCCTCTTTGGTAGGCTCTCTTGAGGTGTTTCCCCCTATCATGATTGCATTAAATTTGGATGTTAATTGTGTTACCAAACCAATTTCATCTCATTTGAGTCATGATATTCTTCTATGAATCTCTCATCTTCTTTAAGTGCAATAGAATTTGTGGAAGCACAAAGGGTGGTACAAGAGTATAGTTTTGATAAGGCCGAATATGTTGGATCTCAAGCTCACACAATGGAGACGGTGAAATTATTAGAGATGTTTTATCCATCATGACAGCATTTGCCCTTGCCCGATTGAAAACATTAAACTTAGTGCTTATTGAGAGGCAACTCTAATTTTTTTTTTTCCATTTCATTTAATATTTTTCCTTGTTTTTGGGATTGGTGGTGGTGTTTATTCCTTTGAGATTTTATTGCTTTTTAGTTTGGGTATTTTCGTGGTGTGGTTAACTCCTATTATAGTTTTCTCTTTTTTTTTTTTTCTATTTTTGTAGGATGGCTTCTCAAGCTTGACTTTTGGAATGGTTACTAGCGGTTCCCTCTCACCCCTACTTAGTCAGTGGTACTTCATGTTATGAGGGGATTGTCACTTTCATCTATTTTCTTGCTATTATTTCTTTATTTTCATCCCCAACATTGAGGACAATATTGCTTTCAGTGTGGAGAGTGGTAAATGAGTAAAGTGAAATTTTTGGTTAAAATTTTAAAAAAACTTTCCTATCGTCTATACCTTGAAAAGCAATAGCTTGTGTTTCAAGTATTATTATTATTTAAGGCATACATGTATGGGTGTGTTAAGTGTCAAGAAGTGCTGCTTTAGAGTGCTTCTTTAATGAATATTTGAGATTTTGAGATTTTTATTTTTGGTTAACTTTTCTAGCCATTATAAATATTTTCTAACATTTATTTTTTGTGAAGTTGGCCTAATCATTAATCTTAGTTCTCCATATTATTAGAATATGAAGTAGGCTTTTGTGGTTTTGTAAATTTGTGCACGTGTTTATTAATTTGACTTTTTTGGTTGTCATTACCTAGTAACTGGAGGTTTGCATTGAGGAAATATGGACTTTTGCGCCAAAAAGTGGTTATAGTTATGAGTGTGTGATTCTTAAGCGGTAAAAGTTGAGTAATCGGACTCCTTTATTTAGGAGACGTTGGCGTTTGTGTCACAAAGTTTGAACAACTGAGAATTAAGTACATTCCCCTTGTCAAATTTTGAAAAAGTTTAAGTAGTGGGGAATTCGTAAAAAGAAGGATAAAAATATATGGATTATAATTCTAGCCTATAGATCCATGTTGTTATATGTTTGAAATTTTGATTAATGGTTGGTCCACACGTGGGGAAATGTTTGTTTCTTTAACTTTACGAAACCTATTCTTTTGAGATTCAACTGAAACTTTAGAAAATTATAAATATGACTACTTAGGACGTTTTTCGGTGAGAAAACACTTGTTCAAATATTAGTTCTAGACTTTAAAATTCAAGAATCAACGTGAAAGTTCAAGGCATGGGAGAGTTTCATCAATTGGGAAGTTCTACACGCTCCTTATTCTAAGTTTTGTATTTTTCAATATTGAATTCTTGTTTACTCTTACTATTATGATCAACTAATCCATATCTAGGATTAGGATTTTGTGAAGGAATTTTGATTATTTATCCAACTTAAATTCTTTACATTTACCTTGATTTATATATTTTGATTTAATTACATATTTGTGTTTGGCCACCATAGATGTGCTCTTAGATTTTGTATTGAATTGAAAAGGAATATACAATTGTGTACTAGATAAATAGACACACTTAAGCTAATAATGGGAAAAGGTCAGGTTTGTATGATATAATTAAATCATCTAAGATTTTAAAGGGTTTAATTAGATATATATGATCTTGAGAGATACGTGAGATTGAATCGAGAGATAATTTAAAATACCTTTGCGTGATATGTTCCTGGTATGTCTAGAAATTAACTGCATATTAATTCTAATTCTGGATCAAAATCTGAACCCCCAGTTTTGCTAATTGTTTTCTCACCACTAGGTTGTTTGGTTTGATCATCTATTTTATTATCTTAATTAGTAGTTAAAAGCCTCTTTAATTTGAATTTATTATTTTTCATAGTAATTAAAGTAGAAAAATTACATATTTGTGTTTGGCAACCATAGATATTGACGGATTTTTGATATACGTACAAGTTAAAATCCGATTTACACCCGTTTGACTGCAAGTATATAAGTCAAATTTGTAGTTTATAGCGTGTATCGGGTCGATCCCATGAGAAAGATTAAACAATTACTGGTGTTACTAAAACTTCTCTATTATTTAGACTATCAATGAAATATAAGAAATGAAACCTACTGAACTTATGCAAAATAACAATTGAAAACTCCTTAGGTTATGGTATCCCTAACTACTCATGCAAGTGCTATATTTGGATCATTGAGTACCACTATCTATGTTAGTTATGGTGTAATTTCCTTATGCATATGAGTCATACTTTAATTATATAACTTCCTTCTCCTATTCTTAGATGATTTAATTATATACTTTAGTCATACTTTAGAACCCTAGAAGCCGCCAATAGCAGCCGCCAACAGGGACTCACATGGGTTCTAAAGATGTCTTGGCAGAAGATGAGGAGCTTCGTGAACTGCAGGAGCGGGTGGGTACTCTGTCTCCAAGAGGTGAGTCCCACATGGTGACTAAAGTAGCCTCTCCGATAATAAGTGACCAACAGATGGATGCACTGAATCTGGAACCTAACGAACTATCTCTAACGCAGCAAGATGGGCCGAAGAAAGAGGTAATAAGCTCATTGCCCCGGCTAGTCGTATTTTACGCTCTAGAGTAATCGATTCGCGGAATCCTTCTTCAGCGTTATCTGATGATTAGATGTCTTTTTTGGAATATTCGGGGTGTCTCTCGTGCCCCTAATTTAAAAAGGTTAAGTAAACTTGTTAAACTTTACTCAGTGTCGTTGGTCGCGATTTGTGAGCCTAAGACTTCCCTTCTGAACCTGGATTCTATCAGGGTGAAGGTGGGAATGGACTTAGCTATTGCGAATCAGGCAGGTAGTGTTTGGGTTTTGTATAAGTCGTCGTTCGATTGTCAGACAATGGGGGAATCTGAGCAGCACATCACGCTGCGCGTGGTTTCCCAGTTATTGCCTGAGGAGATGTATTTTTCTTTCGTTCATGCAAAGTGCACCGGCCAGGAGAGGGAGGGGCTCTGGGAAGAACTGTTGCGAGAGAAGCAAGATGTTAAGCCATGGTTTCTGGTGGGAGATTTTAACGTAATTTTGTCTGCAGAAGAGAAACGGGGTGGCGTTCCTTTCAGGCAGGCTGATGGGGTGGAGTTAGCACAGTTCATGTCTTTAGCAGGGGTTGGAGATGCTGGCTACTCGGGGTCTAGGTATACTTGGTGCAACAATAGGCAAGGTATGGCCAGGGTTTGGAAACGGTTGGACAGGATGCTGATTAACTCGGCAGCTATGAGGATGGGAAGTGAGTTCACTGTACAGCATTTGGGGAGGGACCCATCGGATCATGCGCCACTCCTATTATCTGCGGTCACGAGATTGGATGGTAAGCCGTCACCTTTCCGATTCTTAAATGTTTGGACAACAAAGTCGGGTTTCATGGATGTGGTTAGAGAGTGTTGGTCTGGATCCCTACCAGGGTCGCCTCTCAAGGTGTTATCGGAGAAGCTCCGAAAGATGAAACATGCGCTTCGCCACTGGTCTAGGAGTTCTTTTGGGGATATATTCTTGGAGACTTGGTCCCCGGAGCAGAAGGTGGCAGAGGCCGAAATAGCCCATGATGACAACCCTTCCGAGGAGTTGCTACTACAATTACAAGAAGCACGCGCTCCGTTGCGGAATGCTTTGAGGGTTGAAGAGGAGTTTTGGAAGCAGAAAGCACGGGTTAAGTGGCTGGCAGATGGTGACCGGAATACGGTTTTCTTTCATTCTATAGTGACGGAAAGACGGAGAAAGTCGGTTATTCATCGAGTTAGGAGGACAAATGGTGAATGGGTGGATGATGAGGCAAGTATTTGTAATGAGGCCGTCAATTTCTTTCAGGGTTTATTTACAGAGGAGGTGGGGTGTGTTTCCAGTGACATGTTGAAGGTCATCCCGAGGGTTATTACTGCTCAGGATAACAGTGGACTGACGGAAATCCCTTCCATGGACGAAGTGAAGGAGGTCTTGTTCTCAATGGATGGGGACAGTGCCGCGGGCCCGGATGGCTTTACAGGTAAGTTTTTCACGACTGCTTGGGAGGTGGTTGCTACGGATATTCACCGGGCTATAGTGAGCTTCTTTTGTGGCACGGAGATGCTGAGGTGTGTAACAGCTACTACCATTGTTTTGTTGCCTAAGGTTCACTGTCCACAGGATTTTACACAATTCAGACCGATAAGCTTATGCAACTTCATTAATAAGGTCATTTCTAAGATCTTATCCGTCCGTCTAGCTAGGGTTCTTCCTCGGATTATTTCTCTGCAGCAGAGTGGTTTCGTTCCAGGACGACAATGGCTGACAACTCTCTATTAGCTCAGGAGTTGCTGAGCGATATTAGGAAACCCAATCGGGGAGGGAATGTGGTGATCAAGTTGGATATGATGAAGGCTTACGATAGGGTATCGTGGATGTTTTTAGTACAAGTCCTTCGGCGTTTTGGGTTTAGCGAGCGGTGGATTGATATGGTGTGGAGGCTGGTATCAAATGTGTGGTTTTCTGTACTTGTAAATGGCTCGTCGCATGGGTTTTCCAAGTCCACCCGAGGCTTGCGCCAGGGCCTCTGCAACGACGTGGAATGATTGGGACAGTTACGGGCTTCCCGGACAAGTCGTTTCCTATCAAATACCTTGGATGTCCTCTGTACATTGGAAGGAGGCGAGTGTATTATTTTACAGAGATCTGCAGTGCGGTAACGGCTAAAATATTATCATGGAAAAATCGGGTCCTGTCATCTAGGGGCAAGCTAGTTTTGCTAAGAAGCGTGCTGTCTTCAATCCCGATCCACCTGTTAGCGGCTGCATCTCTGCCAAAGGCAGTGTTCGTGTCCCTTGAGATGGTGATGGCAGACTTTCTGTGGGGGTCTTCGGAGATTGGTCCTAGGTTTCAGTGGATAAGTTGGGGAGAGCTATGCCGGTCTCCGGAGACAGGTGGGGTCGGATTTCATAGTTTTGCTGAGGTGTATGATGCATTCTCCCTTAAGCTTTGGTGGAATTTTCGTCAGCAGAAGTCGCTATGGGCGCAATTTCTATCGGCGAAATATTGTAAGGGGGTGCATCCTTGTTTAGCAGAAGAAGTCTACTTGCAATCCCTCACTTGGCGGAGATTAAGGTCAGTCCAGGAATTGGCGGAGGAGCATATCGGCTGGGTCCTTGGTGACGGGTCCATGGACTTCTGGCATGATAATTGGATGGGTACAGGACCATTGTGTCATCGGGTAGAAATTTTTCATGAGCATAAGGTGGCGGATTTTGTCTCTCACGCGCAATGGAATTGGCGATTGCTTAATCAGATTTTGGCATCGGAGCTGGTGAGGCAGGTGATGCAGGCATCTCCTTCGGCTTCCAGAGGGGCGGATAGAATGGTCTGGACTTTAACGTCTAATGGGGCGTTCTCGGTAGCCTCGGTTTTATTCGTTGTTTCAAAGTCGGCTGCTAGCTCCGGGTAGCTTCACAAGTTTGGCTGCAGGGCTGCCCCATCAAGATTTCCTTTTTCATGCTCCGGCTGTTGCGGTCGCGTCTTCCCTTTATGGATATGCTACGGAGATTTGGGGTTCAGGGCCCGTCTCGGTGTGTTTGTTGCTCTGAGCCAAGTGCGGAAGGCATCCAACACACCTTCTGCACGGGGGAGTTAGCACAGGCGGTTTGGGCTTGCTTCGAGGAAGGTTAGGGGGAGTTGGCTAGGGCCTCCACGGTGTGTCATCGGGTCGTGCGTTGGTGGTTGCGCCGGGGACACAATGCGTACATCAAATTTGTCTATCGTTTACTCCCAATGCTGGTATGTTGGGAGTTGTGGAAAGCACGGAACATAGGGGTATTTGAGGGGAGGAGAGCGGTGTGCACGGAGGTGGTGCGTCAAGTATTTTGACAACTGTGTGCTTTAATCCATTGCTGCTTCCCGGAGGTAAATGGTTCTTTTGAGTCATGGGATGTTCTCCACTCGGCTTTGGTAGGTATGAGACGGAGGGTGTCTGTTACTCAGGTGGCATGGGTGGCTCCTACGGGAGGGTATAAATTGAACTCAGACGGATGCTCTAGAGGAAATCCGAGGATTAGTGGAGGTGGGGGTGTGGTGCGTGATAGGGAAGGGAAGCTCATTGTCGGCTATTCTTGTTTCTTTGGCTCGTTGACGAGTCTGCACGCGGAGCTCAGGGCAATGTTGTTTGGGGTAAGGCTATGTGTCGCTCAGGGGTTGCATGGTTTGCACATCGAGTCGGACTCGCTCAACTTGGTGCGGATTTTGCTAGGGTGTCAAAGTTGTCCGTGGCGACTTCAACAGGAGATGTACGAGTTGCTCAGCTATAAGCACAACTTCATAGAGATCACGCATTGCTATCGTGAGGCAAACAAGCCTGCGGATTGCCTGGCTAATATGGGGGCGGACTCGAAACATGAGAGGGTTTTTACTGCTCTTTCCGCTTTGCCTAGTAGGGTTCGGGGGGAACTGGCTTTGGAGCGCGTAGGTTGTCCTAATTTCCGTAGGAGGTGGGGTACATAAGCATTGTATGTTTTCATTCATCTGCTCTCGTTTTCAATAAAGTGTTTTAATTTGAAATATATATATATGTATTTTGTAAAAATTTCTCAGCAAAAAAAAAGGGTTTAATTAGATATATATGATTTTGAGAGATATGTGAGATTGAATCGAGAGATAATTTAAAATACCTTTGCGTGATACGTTCCTGGTATGTCCAGAAATTAATTGGATATTAATTCTAATTCTGGATCAATATCTGAACCCCTAGTTTTGCCAATTGTTTTCTCACCACCACGTTGTTTGGTTTGTTGTCATTCGAGGAGCCTGGGATAGACCAGTGCAGGGAGCCCCTTTGCGTGTGTTGTGCCAGAAATTAATGGCGTCAAGACGGGCTATCCAAGACTGGAACAAACTCATTTTTGGCAATATCTTTGAGAAGGTTCGGGTGGCAGAGGCTGCGGTTTGCAGCGCTGAAATAGAGGTGGAGGGCAATGCCTCTGAGATGGAGCAAAATGTTCTTCATCAGGCCCAGGCGGACTTAAGCCTAGCGCTAGTCATCGAGGAGCAATTTTGGAGTCAAAAGGCCCGAGTGAAGTGGCTCCATAGTGGGGATAGGAACTCCAAGTTTTTTCATGCGGTGGTGAAACAAAGACGGATTCAGAGCACCATCCATCGAATTAAAGATTCGCGGGGCGCCTGGGTGAATAGGGATGAGGACATAGCAAACGAGGCAATTGCGTTCTTCTCGGGCCTATTTTCTGAACCTACTGTTTTTGCATCGGATATGCTACACTTGATTCCTCCCTTGATCACGGAAGAGGAGAATAAGGCTTTGAAGGAAGTCCCATCCATGGCAGAGGTTAGACGAGTGGTTTTTGCAATGGATGGGGAGAGTGCTGCGGGGCTGGACGGATTCACGGGTAAGTTCTTCACGTTCGCTTGGGATGTCATTGTTCAAGATATTTATAATGCGGTGCTGAGTTTCTTCTGTGGGGCTGAGTTGCCTAAGTTTATTACCTCCACTTCCATTGTGCTTATCCCTAAAGTGGCAAATCCCCAGGATTTTTTGATGTTTAGGTCGATTAGTCTTTGTAACTTTTTTAATAAGGTGCTATCTAGACTTTTGGCTGACAGGCTGTCTGCCATTTTACTGAAGATTATCTCCCCCCAGCAGTCAGGCTTTGTTAAGGGTAGGAATATCACGGAGAATTACTTGCTGGCCCAGGAGGTGCTGTCGGGTATTGGCAAGGCCTCAAGAGGGGATAATGTTGCGTTAAAATTAGACATGTCTAAGGCATACGATAGGGTGTCATGGACTCATATTGTGAGCGTATTACGGCAGTTTGGTTTTGGAGAGCAATTCATAGACAGGGTTTGGAGGTTGCTATCTAATGTGTGGTTCTCAGTCATTGTCAATGGGGTCTCGCATGGATTTTTTAAATCGGCTAGGGGGCTTCGGCAGGGGGACCCTCTATCCCCGGCATTATTTGTCATAGGAGCTGAGGTGCTCTCACGGGGTCTGAATAGTCTTGCGCATCAATCCGGATTTGTGGGGTTTCGGGTTCCACACGGGTACCCTCTTATCACTCACTTGGCCTTTGCTGATGATGTAATCGTCTTTGCAAACGGTTCGTCAAGGTCTCTGAAGCGTGTTATGCGGGTGTTGGAGTTGTACCATCAATCCTCGAGACAACTGGTTAATGCTCAAAAGAGTGGGTATTTGGTGCATCCGTCGTTGCCTCCGTCTCGACGCAGAGTGATTGAGCGGATCACGCAGTTTGCCAGGAATTCATTTCCAATTCGTTACTTGGGATTTCCCTTATACTTAGGTCGGTGTAGATCGTCGTATTTTGGGGCAGCCAGCCAAGCTATCATAGAAAGGGTGTTGTCGTGGAAGTCGAGGCTTCTCTCTCCAGGTGGAAAGTTGATACTTATCAAACATGTCCTTGCGTCTGTTCCTGTTCACTTGCTTTCGGCAGCAGTGGTACCTAGCTCGGTCTTCTCGATGATAGAAAAGGTTTGTGCAAATTTTCTATGGGGCTCAATGGCGGAAAAATCAAAGTTCCACAGGATACGATGGTCTCAGCTATGCTACCCCGTGGAGGAGGGTGGGGTAGGTTTTCGAAGACTTCGGGATGTCTACAGAGCCTTTTCATGTAAGTTGTGGTGGGGGTTTCGGACTGGAGCTTCACTTTGGGCGTCTTATATGCAAGCTAAGTACTGTAGGGAGCAGCATCCTTGTCAAGTGCCTCTCAAAGTATCTGCTACGGCTACTTGGAGACGAATGTGGTATGTTAGTCAGCAGGTGGAGCTATCAATGTTATGGCATATTAATGGGGGTGCCTGTCACTTTTGGTACGACAATTGGGTAGGCAGTGGTGCTTTATCTCTCCGCTCGACGGTCATCCCCGATCTCTCCTTTGGGGACTTTATCACAAATGGAACATGGGATGCCCAGTTGCTATCGCGGGCCTTACCACCAGGGATCATCCCCTTAATCTTACAACATCCCATACCTGAAGGTGGTCGCGCAGCTGAGCCTGTGTGGATGCCATCAACATTTGGGAAATTCACGCTAGCGTTGACTTTTGGGGAGGTTCGTCAAGCCTGCAACACTTCTGCGGTTCTATCACACGTCTGGCATCATCGGATACCGTTGAAGGTATCTTTCTTCATGTTACGCTTATTGAGGGGAAGGTTGCCAGTAGCGGATGCCCTCTGCCAGCTAGGTTTTCAAATGCCATCGAAGTGTCTTTGTTGTCGGAGCCCATCTTGCGAATCTATTGAGCATGTGTTTGCAACGGGACAGATTGCCATGGAAATCTGGGAATATTTTGGGGGTGTGTGTGGCGTGGCTAGTACAGGATCCTTACTGCGAGCTTGGATGGCGGCATGGTGGTTTGTGGAGCAGCGATCAGAAAAGAGGCACTTCTTGTTCAAAATTATTCCTAGTCTCATCTGCTGGCATATCTGGAAGGCTAGGAATAGAGCCGTTTTTGAAGATAAACCCTTGCAGTCGGCAGATATTTTCGGGCCATATTCAAAGAGGTGAAGATGCTGGTGGAGATTCAGTTTAAGGGCAATGTTGGGGTTAATACGTTTCTTC